TATTTTTTAATTAATTTTAGTAAAATGAGCTTTCAATTTCAATCAACCATTTCCATGACAGTCGTAAATATATCATTGATGAATATATTCACATGCTTAACATTGTTTTCCTTGCTAAAATGTGAACGTTGTTAGGTAGGGAACGAATTTTTTTGATTTTTTGGCCCAATGTCACCTCCACTTACGGTATCACTGAAACACTTACAAAACAAAATCTTAGACTATCCCATTTAGTTTAAGGGTAGTGTCAAAATGTTCCCCCGAAATTACATTTGAACACTACCCTGAAATGAAAGGGGATAACTTAAGGCTTCGTTGGATGTGTGGCTCAGAGATACTGATTTTTTTATTATCCTGAAATATTTTATTTGATGATGAAAATGTGTGTCAACCTGTTTGCCAATTGATTTAAATACATGCGATGTTTGTGTGACTTACACACCTACACACTTGCTAACGACTACGCCGGAGTTGCCCTCATACGAAGAAATTATTTTTACTGATGTTACAATGAACAGCTAATATATATAGAAAATCACCATTTTACCACATTCCATATAGTTGCAGAGAAAAAGCAAGGCCTACTTCGTTAAAATTTACACAGAAATCAATTTTACGAATGTTCCAGATCTTATGACGGACCATCTGGTGACTACTCAGAGCCATTGAACAGCTATTGTATCTATAATTACCATTTTACTTCATTTCACATAGTTGCAGAGCAAAATCAAGGCCTGCTTTGATCAAATTTACGCAGCAATAAATTTTACGGATTTTCCGTATTTTCTGGACCACCTGGTGATAACTTGAAGCCAATGACCAGCGAATATATAAAAAATCACCATTCTACTACATTCCATTTAGTTGCAGGGAACAAGCAAGGCCTGCTTTGATAAAATTTACACATAAATCAATTTTACGGATGTTCCGGATCTTCTCATGGACCATCTGGTGACTACTCAGAGCCATTGAACAGCTAATGTATCTAAAATTACCATTTTACTACACTCCACATAGTTGCAGAGTAAAATCAAGGCCTACTTTGATCAAATTTACGCTGCAATAAATTTATCAGATTTTCCGGATCTTCCATCTGGTGACCACTCGGAACAATTGAACAGCTAATATAACAAAAATCACCATTTTACTACATTTCACGTAGTTGCAGAGCAAAATCAAGGCCTACTTTAATCAAATTTACGCAGCAATACATTTTACGGATGTTCCGGATCTTTCGGCGAGCCACTTGAAGCCAGTGAACAGCTAATATATAAAAAATCATAATTTTACTACATTATATACAGTTGCAATGAAAAATCAAGGCATACTTTGATGAAATTTACTTAGCAACCAATTTTACGGATGTTCCAGATCTTTCGGTGGGTCATCTGGTGACCATTTGGAGCCAATGACCAGCTAATATTTCAGAAATCACCATTTTACTGTATTCCATATAATTGCGGAGGAAAATCAAGGCCTACTTTGATCAAATTTACACAGCAATCAATTTTACGGATGTTCTGTATCTACCAGCGGACCATCTGGTGATAACCCGGAGCCATTGAACAGCTAACATATCAAAAATCACCATTTTACATTTCTCATTGTTGCAGAGAAAAATCAAGGCCTACTTTGATCGAATTTATGTAGCACTAAATTTTACGGGTGTTTCGGATCTTCCGCCGGATCATCTGGTGACCACTTGGAGCCATTGAAACGCTTATATATCTAAAATCATTAATTTACTACATTTCATATAGTTGCAGAGAATAATCAAGGCCTACTTTGATAAAAAATACATAATAATCCAGATTAAGGTTGATCCAGGTCATCGGAAGGCCTTCCGGTGGACGCTCAGTATTTAGAACCAGGTTATGGGTTGATTTTGTTAAAATATTAATCAGCACTACCCATAGATGCCTGTTGCTGTGGATTTTCAGCACCACCTTGTTCTAGACGACTGGTACCTTTTCTCCCCCCGATGGCCTCTCGGAAACCCGGAATAAAACCGGAACCACTTGGCCAACCTGTTCCAATTTTTAGTAGACCATAATTTCGAACATTTTTCCACTCACTGTGAAAATTTCAACCAATTTCATGGTTAAACAAAAAAGTTATACCTATGCAAACATTGCTATTCGTATACCTGTTCGTAAAAATAAAAACTGCACAAGCGCGTTAGGCCCTCCCCAGAAGTAATGCAGGTGGTGTTCGTTTGAAACGCTAATAACTTTTCGGGGGTACCTCGGATTCACATCCGATCTTCAGCCAATAAGTTCCCAATACTCCAAAGGTGCTACATTTTGTACACGAAGAAAATCGACTACCCACTACAGCGCCACCTAGAGCCTCCAATGTGAAAGTGGCTCGCTCCCCCATACATTTTGTCGATTTTCCCCATACAAACTTCAAGCCGTTTGAGCGAGGGTTCCCGTGAACCAAATCACTTCAAATTTTGGCAGGGTGTTTCTGACCCCCAAAACTACCATTCCAGAGGGTAGCGTTTGCAATCCCTGATTTGACCTATTTTGAAACACTCTAATACTGGTGTTGTGGTGTTGAGTACTTTGAGTGTTGAGCAGATGAAGTCTGCAAGTAGTAGACGAAATACGCGTATCTGTCAAAAGATAAGCAATTATAACGGAATTTAAAGGAAATAAACCAACACACTCAAAGCTCTTCATAAAGGGATTCCGTTAAAAGGTTCGACAAATTTTAAAGATTGACTAGATTTACTGCTGTTTAAAATGTTCATTGAAAAATTACGGATTTTTGGCTCCGCAAAGTGTCACACACGACTGAGCCTAGTAAATAAACGAACTAGTTAAAAAAAACACACAATTTTTCCTGCATTGTAGGTAGAGTCGCCTACCTCGCTGTCTACCCAGATTCGGGGCGTTACTCCACTCGATTTGCACGGCGACACGGTCAGTGACGGGTACACGACGTTAGGCATACGGACGTTGAGCATAATGTACGATAGGCATAATGGACGTTGGGCATAAAGGACGTTAGGCATAATCTACTCGACCGTCTATTGATTGCTGACTTCGGTGTCAATAATGAAAGAGCTTTAATTTTTGGAACTCATGAAAACTTGCGACGTCTTGGACAGGCAAAGCACAGACAAACAGACGTAACTCTTCATTGTGTATCTTCGTTCACGCATTTAACGGTTGATATGAATATTATCAGTTCCGCGAACTACTCGCCGTAGCGCTGGCATCGGATCACTTTGACGTTTCTATACATTCTATTGAACTTTCATGCAATATTGTTTGCGAGTTAGCGAGCAAGATTGTTTTCCGCGAGAAGCCCGAGAGATGTCGTTACTGAGGTCCTATGTTTTGAGATGCTATGTTTTCAATAAAAACTTTTTCAAAGAGTTACGTCTGTTTGTCTGTGGGCAAAGTATTGGGTTACAGATGGTACGTTTGCCACAGTTGCTTGTTTGTTTCGGCAACTCGTCACTGTTCATGGAAGTATCGCTCCCTCACATCAGCAGACGGTTCCGCTAGTTTTCATTCTGATGACAACAAAAACAGAATCGTTGTAAAGAAAAGTATGGCAGGAAATCCTGGAAACAGCAGGTATTTTTTTATATTGAATGAAAAACCACAGAATTCACCATTCTTCATTTCATGAGCTGTTCTTTGGCATCATATTTTGTTCAACCTTAGCTGTTTTTTTGTTATTGAATGGAAAATCACAGAATTCACCATTCTTTATTTCATGAGCTGTTCTTTGAGGAAAACCTGTTCTTCTTTGACAATTGCAATATGTGTGTAAGAATATATTACAAAAAATGTGTGATTTTTTATTTCTAGATGCGATTGATTTGAAGATATAGTTCAAAACTGTGCTGAGTTTTCATTGCCAGATTACTATCGAGATATTATTGCTATCGCTACTAATCTTGGATCTAAGTAAATATGTAGCTACGTCACTTATGATATGATAAATAATGGATTCCAAACTTTGCTTATTAAATAAACTACACTCAGGTCTTTTTTTACACGGGGGATACGTACCGTGTAAAAAAAACCTACGAGATTTTGATTTTTCACATGTTTAAATGTTTTTAAAAAATCTGATTTTTATGCCATTTGCAATTATAGCATGCTATGGTCCATATAGACATATTTTCAATATTTCTGTATTTACATCAAAAATTGTGATTTTTTTAAAAGTATGCCATTCGATTACCTATAGCTTGAAACGGATAATGTGATTGGAATCAAGTCGATAGGTTATATCGTTGTCGAGAAATCGTTAAAAACGTACCGTGTAAATCGCGAAAAACCGTGTAAAAATAACCGTGTAAAAAAACCGTGTAAAAAAAGACTTTAGTGTATGTTTGTTTAACTTGTATCATTTTTTATTCAACGCTTAGCCTAATTTAAGCATTGTTTACCATGCTCGAAACAGGTTTTTATAGTTGTACAGCAGCAAGGTATTTTATACCTAACGTCCATTATGCCTTACGTCCGTATGCCTAACGTATTTATGCCTAATGGGGTACACTCGTCAGTGACAGTGGTCTAATCGACGATATGAGAAACAGTGGTGGTAATAGACAGGCCTATTCTGCGTGGCGTGTGAAGCGACTCTTTATTTGATTTGACCTCACATGATGCGACTTTAAGTCACATCACTACTGACAGGGAGTCACCGAGGGATTTCAGACGTTTTCGAAGTGATTCCGGACCAAGGCGGATAATCAAAGGTGACACAGATGGAAGAAGTATTAGTTTGTTAACTAAAATGAACTATGACGATTGTATATGGCAAGTTTTGCTATAATCAATCCTGTGTTTATTCGGAAAATTCACATCACTTGCGTTGGAAATCAATTTGGCAAGGCATTTGTGACCAGCATACACCTTCAGGTCCACAGTTGCCCAAATCCGCCCGTAAACGTTTTGTTGTCATTGAACCAAAATAATCAAAACTGGACTGTCATCATTCCCCTGAATTAACTCCGATAGAAACAAAAAAAGTTCATTCATTTTTACTTTATTTTCCATTTTCTCATTTTTCTCAAATATAATACATACAATCGGTTGCACCATGCAAGAAATAAAGTTTACAAATGTTTTTTCATCAGGGATTTTCTGGGCTTTTTCCTTGTTTTCGTCTTTCTCTCCTTCGTCCTTCGTCCACAGGTAATTCTTTCTTCATGAGATTTTCGTTTTCTCTCCACAAAAAAAAAAGATATATCAACATACAAAGTGAGTCCATTCATTGTTTCCAACAATCAATGGCTACTAATCCTACCAATAAAAGAGTCATTTTTTTGTATACAGCGAGTAGAGAGATAACATCGTAGCCGCGCGTGGGAGCCGGGCCGGCAATTCCGCGCTCCGGAATATTCTTCGGAAGGGGGAAAAAAAGGGGTTCGACACTAGCACGTTGCTTTTTTTTCGTTCGGGAAATTTTTTAACAACACATTCAAAAATTAAACACCAGCGAAGAGGGGACACTTCAAAAATCAAAAGAAAATCGACGACGATGACGACGACGGCGAAACAAAATAAATAAATAGGCGGAAGCTTCTTCTTGTTTGTAATTGTTGTTGTTGTTTTTTTCGGAAGGGTTATGTGTCAGGGTCTCAATAGTAGCGTGGTCTTCGGTAAACGTGTAACGAGCGACTTGCGATGCGTATCGGGTGGTAAGTGATTTCGGAGGTCCTGTTGGTGTTGGTTTGTTGTCGAATAGAGAATCGTATTGTTTGCATTAGTGTTTGAGTTGCTCTGTTCTATATACGGTTTGTATGTTGAAGGGGTATGAGTATCGTTTGACGGTTCACAGACATTCAGGTTACGTATATGGAAGTGGGGGAAAATGCGTCAGTTACGGGGTATGGAGGTCGATAGGTTGTGAGGGTTTTTTAGTTGTTGTACGCGCGCGAATAGATCAGTCACAGGAGTACAATAAAAACATCGTTTTTCCAGCTGTCAAAAATGTGGTGTCAAAAAAGTCAACGTTTGCTTGTGCTGAGTCGTAAAAATTGCAGTCCAAAAATCGTTCTGCGTACTTTTGGTCATTTAGAAACAGCAAAAAATAAATAAAATAAAATAAACGAGATTCGTTTTCATTGGCGTAAAATTTCACTTTTTAATTTTTGGGGTTCCTAATTTTACACACCTTCACCACTCATTTTTTTTTTCTGTGTCAACACAATCGTTTGGTTCGCGCAACAGCAATACAATATAACGGTTACACTCTAATCGCTAATCGGTGTAGAAAATAGTAGAAAAATCTTTTGTGTGGCTAATCTTTTTGGGTTTTTCTAAAATACATTATACGTTACTTTAATATCACCACATTGAGGACAAAAATACATTTTCTTTTCTTTCTTCTGTTGCTTTTTCCGCAATTTCCTGCATTGCGGCGTGGATTAATGTGTTGAAAATGTGGGGGTGTGTATTTTTTTATGTTACAGTGTTCGTGTTCAGTGTTGTTTTTACAAGTTAAAAAATAACATACAAATTTGTTTCAGTGGAGGAAAGGTTTGTTTTTGCGTGTTTGATTTTTTTTGGCGAGTGTGTACAGGGCATGAAAAAGATAAAGAATGAAGAAGAAAAAAGAAAGTATTATTATCGCTTATAGTCAATCGTATAAGAAATCAAAATCAAAATAATAACAAACATTACTAACAAACTCTGCTCTCTCGGGTTGTTAGTCAACGGACAAATCAAAATGAAACAGTTCCATACGGAAAAAAGAATGGACAGTGTTTTTTTTTAGGTGGTTGTTGTTGTTGTTTGGGTCGGGATGGTGGTGTATGCGTGTGTATGCATTGGGAACACAAAACTAAAACGCTATTAACAACAAAATGGTAGCGGTTTTGGACTGACTAGAAATGTACACTTTTAATTAAAGTCGAGGAAAGTTATCCAAACTCAATCGAAAAAAGAAAGAGGCTTCAGACGGGTTTGCTTTTCTCTGCTTTGCTGTGTGGGAGCACTCTAAATTAGAGGGGAGGCACGCGCTCTCTATGCACATATCGAAACGGTTATCCAAGTTGGCTTCGCCTTAAAATCGTGCTTTTTTTTTCACTGCGCTTTCACAACATTCACTTGTCAGCATTAATATCTATATCATGTTTAAAAACTTTACAAACTAAATCGTATGGCTGGTTTGGTGGCGATATACTAACTTGCAGTTAGTCAAAAATATGCCTTTGTTTACATGTATGTGTGTTTGTTTGTGCGACACAGTAGCAACAGAGCATTCGGTTCAAAAACAAAATATGGATGACGTGTGTGAACGTAAATATGCGTATTTATAAACATGTAATGTGTCACAGTTGGCTGATTCCTCTGATTGCGCGTTTGTGAGTTGTTTGTTTACGTTTGTTCTGATTGTTTTTTTTTTTTTAAATGTGGAAGTGAGCGCGAATCGTGACTAGAAAACTAATGGTAGTTTTTAATAGTAGTACTCATTAAATGGTAAAATATCAGTAATAACGGTAACACAATGTAATTGGTAATAGTAGCAATATTCACGTTAGCGTGTTGTTTGGATTGGTATAGGTGAAGCCCTCAAACTGCCCCTGGTTCATCGAGGCCAGAATGTTGCGATCGATCGGCGTCAGGCGCGCTCGCTCGCGTGTGAACTGCTTGTCGAAATACTGCGTGTCCAAAGGATGTCGCTGGAAAAGAAGAAAGAAATGACGTCATTAGAGCTCTGTATTTGATCGTTTGTATTAATTTTGTTAACAAATGCAGAGAACTAGAGCGTATTGTGAAAAGCTCCCACCTTTATTAACCTTGAGCTCGGGCAACCTTGAAGCGCATCAACTACCACTCTTTATTCGAACAGCGAACTGTCATTTTATGTTCACAGGGAGAAACGAAACAACTTAAAATCGAGATAGAAAGTACTTAAAAATAGGTACTCTCGAAAGAGTACTATTTTGGATACATTGTTATTCTGATTGATAAGTACTTTTAACTTAATCTTGAAGTATAACAAAAATAGTTACTTTTACGTTTATTGTGCTCAGAACAGTAGTCTTTTGAGAGTTATTAGTTTAGGGCTTTCTATCTCGATTTTGAGTTGTTTCCTTTTCCACTTTTTGAAAGTATCCAAAATGAAGTGTTGTGATTTCACTTTATTTTGGATGAAAAAATCATACTTATTTCATTTAAGCTCTGTCGTCCTCCTGGAAGCAATCGCTTTTAAAAGTTTTGAAGGTGTTACCGTGTTAAAATTGCGTGAATTGGTGGAAACAATAAAAATGGAGCATCTAAAGAAAAAGATCGACAAAGGAAGCTACCAAAAGCTGACAGGTAAGCTTTATTATTTAATTTATCAGTGGATATTACGTACATTTTCAACTTTTAATTCTTGAGGGAGGAAGTGTTGAGTTGATGGATGCAGCGAATTCATCAAAGGTGATCTGGTGCTTTTTAAGCAACACTTTTCCACGGTCCATAAAATCGCTGAGATGTCCCCTATGTGGCTCGATTTTTAGCTTTTTTTAAGCTTCAAAAAGCATTTTCTTACACATAACCCTCTTCCGGGCAACACGGAAGATGTTGAAGAAAACTCTTTTGAGCTAGTAGTTCCTTCGCCCTCACCAGTGCCGACCCTTGAGGATGATCCGATGCCGTTTACCCCAATTGAAAACCCAGTGTTTTACTAGAACAACGTGTCGCTGGAAGATATTACGGCAAAGTTTATGGAGATGATCACGCAACTTCGCTGTGATGTGTCTCTTCCACAAAAAAGGTGCAGAAGTTTCTTTCTGGGTTTTCCTCGATTGTTCTTTGGAGTCAACGACACGCTATGTTACAAGTGAAGCGGTTCTTGAATAACGAAAACTACTCTTTTGATCAAGAACCTTCGATAAATTTGATAAATTCTTTGTTTATCCCCGATATAACCAAAAACGCGCTCACATTTGAAGACAACATGAATTTTTTGATTGCCAAAGCTGATTATACGGTTCCAGAACCGATTGAAACAATATTAGGAGAAACTAGTTTAAATAATTGTACGCTGTTAGGACGAGCAAGAGGAAAAAAAAAATCAAAAAAGGGTTAAATTTACATTCCGATAGTTGACACGTTGCATCTGATCATGGCAAATCCAGAAGCTCGATCTATGGTGGATCCTGAGGAGCCAAAAACGGATGACTCAATAGTATCCTTCAAAGACAGCAAGCAATTTTTACAACATCCCTTCCTGCAAAGCCATCCTTATGCATTGGGACTTTCTTTACACGTCGACGACGTCGAATATGTGAACCCACTTGGATCGCGTAAAGGGAAAAACAAGTTGACATTTTTTTTATTTTAAGGTTCAAAATTTTGACTCACGAGTAAATTAAAGATCTTCTTGCACTTGAGTCACCGCAGGGAATAGTTACAAGAATAAAGTCAGAAAACTGGACATTACGCGCCGTTCTTGTAAATATTCTGGGTGATACTTTAGCTATCCACGAGATATTTGGGCTTCTTGGACCTTCAGCCAACCATTTCTGTAGATCGTGTTGCATTTCGATCCGGTGAGTTAGGCGACAGTTTCACCCACAGAACCGTAGAAAACGTGCAACAGGACGTTGATTCCGTATTAAACCAGCAGAAAACCCCAAAGGAATGTGGGATACGATCAGATTGTGCGTTACATGAATTGCGATTCTTCAGATGGGCTATTGATCCAATGCATGATGTATTGGAAGGTATTTTTCCAATGACTATCAAATTGATTTTGAAGCATGCAGTACAGTCCAGAATAACTACAGAACAAGAGATCAACCATCTCATCAATACATTCGATTACGGAGAGTGTGAAGACTTCAAACTTTTCTAATCATGTTTTGAATTCGAAAACAAATGCTTTGAGCCAAACTGCATCTCAGACTTGGTTACTCATGCGTGCATTTCCGTTCATTTTCGATGAAGTCCTTCAGCAAGACTCCAAATTAGGACAACTGGTTTCATCGCTGCTCCTAATTAGTTACGTTTGTTTTTCACATAGATTGACCCAAGACATGGTAAATGATCTGAATAATGCTATTCGAGACTTTCATTTTATTTTCAAAGAGTGCTTCTCATCATCTATTGCTATTAATAAAATGCACCATATTGCACATTATGCACAGTCATGTGTAGAAAATGGACCCCTTTATAATGCTAGTTGTTTGTTGTATGAGGCCAAATTTAAGGAGTCCAAGGGCCAAGGCAAGACATGTGGAAATTATAAAAATCTTACGTTGAGCCTAACGAAAAGATTGGCATTTAAACAAATCAACTCAATTTTGAAGCATTCTTATGTCATAGATTATCCGCTAATAATTATATCTATATTGATTTCCCACAACAAATTAAGGTAATTCAGCACTTGCAAATAAACAAAACTGATATCCGGCCAGGATATTTAGTAAAATATCTAAAGCACACTGGAAGTTACTATGGCATAATTCTATTAATAGTTTGCCATCAAAATGAAATAGTAACTATTATCCAAGAATTAGATATTGATCAGTTTGATTTTACATTGTTTGCTTTTAAAGTCAAGCTTTCTCAGAACCTGATTAGAGTTACAAAAGATAAACTGTTGTCACGTAAATGTTATAATTTGTGGAAACTAAAGAAAGATGATATTCATTATTATATTAGTTTAAAATACTACGACGAATAAGTAGGCTTACATACTACTGACATATTTTTCAAAACTTCTGTGCTAATTAAATATCAAAACGTTTTATTTATTAACAGCCAATCTTATCACTGATGAGTCGTTGATCCATTTGGATGCAAATGACTTGGCAGAATTAGGGAAGAAATGTTGAATGCTTTGACGAAATCACACTTAAAAAGTTCTATTTCTTTTGGTTTTGTTGTGAGATGTAGTGGGAAATGGAAGTAAAAGGCAATTAAGTGGCAAATAACAATGTTTTTAAGCAAAATCATTAATTTTTTCACGTATTTATTATTCATAAAATTTATGTGTATTGATGTTTTGAACAACTTTGCAGATCATTTCAAAACAGCAGAAGTTTATAGAACATTATTATTGAGTAAAAACGGGTATTAAGCGTTTTTCCAAGAGAAACGTTCCATATTTCAATGAAATGAAGAAATAGACACTTAGTGCCCTCAGCAAAGATTTTTGTTTTGATATTTTCTAAAACTTTTCCCAAGACACCGATCCTGAATACAGGGGGAACGACACTTCAGGATTATCCCATTACTACCAAAAAAAAAAAAAAAAAAAACAAAATGTGCTCTTTGTTACGTAACGCAGAGCTTTACTCCTCCTCCCCTATGTAATAATTCGTAACGATATAGGTGACCCCCTCTTCCCCTATAAGCGTTACGTAATTTATGGACGCTACCTTGCAGACGATTTCTCTTCTTTTTACACCTATCCTCTTCGCGTTCAGACTCGTATCCCTCTGAAACTTTTTAGCACCCCTCACATCCTTATTGTTATCACATCCATTCCCTGATCTATTCCCATCTATTTTTTCTATCACTGTTCTATTTTTTGTCCACACGACACACTAAAAAAATCCCATCAATTATGTTTTTCCCCGAAAATCCCATGTAAATTGCTAGACTGAAAAAATATTGTGTGTGGCAGGATAATTTCTCACAATGGGATTAAACCATCTGTTCTCTTTTTATGGCCGTACGACTGTGCCCATTGATTTAACATACGTCGGCTCTTTATCCAGGATTCGCTCCTGAAGCCACTATCATAAAATACTATCTAAGTTACACACCTGTGTAGAATCCTCATGAGCGGGGTTGCAGCGCGCTTATGAACGGTGCGCTTCGACCGTCATCAAATGAGAATTTAACATAAGCGCGACAATACATCCAAATGAGTGTCGTTCCTCCTGCCTGAATATGAAATTGTTGAAAAAGTTGGATCTCACTTCTAGAAGGATTAATCATTAATCTGACAATGTCAACAGAAGGGGATTTTCATATCCAGATACTTTCCACAATACACTACTAGTCTAAAAGGCGAGATTCACGAGATAATGACTTTTGACCGGCTTTTCATAGTTCTGGACCACTGTGTAGCTTATGTGTACAGCAAAGAGCACCCAGGCCATAGCCTGATTGGTAAGGTATGTAAGAGATGCTGAACGAGGTCTTTGTCATCGAGGTAATTCCAGACAAATGGAGAAACACCCAAATCAAGCCCATCCCTAAACACAAAGGAGATCCGAATTCCAGAAGAACTGTTCAGCTCAAAGCTGCGTAAACTAACTAAGTCGTCAAAAGGGTCAAGAGCGTACAACAAGAATTGGGCTCACTTATTGTTGTTTTCCTTGACATGTCAAAAATAACTGAAGGAGATCTGTGAGTTAACTGCTCCCACAAGGGTGCCCCCTCTCACCAATCCTGTTCAACATTTGCACCAAGAAGCTCCACGAGATCCAAGAGGAGGACTGTGAACTCGTTCAATTCGCGGATGATAGTGAAAAGTCAACGTTCATCTCTCGTCTTTGGTCTAATGACTCCAGACTCCAACGTCTTGTAAACCACAGCAGTTGCCTTCTTCACGGTAAAATTCTTGAGAGGTTTTCTTCTTCTTCCTCGCATTTCAAGCTTATTGTTTATCACATATTAGCTTATTGTGTGCTCTCAACTTCGTGTTCTATATGCACTTCCACAGTTTTTAATTGTG